ACACGCTGTGCAGCTAATGTTGTCAAGTTGATGGTCCAAGATACCTTAGAAACAGCAAGCCCGATAATCCACAAGGTCCGGGAAAGTATTCGGTATGTTCGAAGTTCACAGGCAAACCAGGAAAAGTTCACTGAGATGGCTCAAATTGTTGGGGTTGATTGCCAGAATTGCTTGAATCTTGATAATTCATTTTATTGGAACACAACATATATCATGATTGACACTGCTTTGGAGTACAAAGATGCATTTCCCCTTTTGCAAGAACATGATTCTGGGTATGGAATGTGTCCATCTGCCACAGAGTGGGATAGAATAAGTGCCATTGCTAGCTTCCTAAAGCTCTTTGTTGAAGTTTCCAGTGTTTTTGCAGGAAGCAAGTATCCTACTGCAAATACATACTTTCCAGAGATCTGTGATATTCATTTGCAGTTGATTGAGTGGTGTCAAAACTCAGATGATTTTGTTAATTCTTTGGCTCTAAAGTTGAAAAGCAGATTTGATGAGTACTGGAAAAAATGTAGCTTGGCTTTGGCAATTGCAGCCATCTTAGACCCACGATACAAGATGAAATTGGTTGAATACTATTATCCTCAAATATATGGTGATAGTGCTCCAGACTGTATTAATATTGTTTCAGATTGTATGAAGGCTCTGTATAATGGCCATGCTATTTACTCACCATTAGCTCCGAATGGTCAAGCTGAAGCATCTCAAGTTGGTGGTGCTGGTGCTAATAATGATCGGCTGACAGGGTACGACAAATTCATCTATGAGACCTCACAGAGCAACAACATAAAATCAGATTTGGATAAATACTTGGAAGAGCCGCTTTTCCCTAGAAAAGCCGATTTTAGCATATTAAACTGGTGGAAGGTTCACACTCCAAGGTATCCTATTCTGTCCATGATGGCACGGAATATTCTTGGAATGCCTATGTCAAAAGCTTCATTAGAGTTTGTATTCAACACTGGGAATAAAGCTCTTGAACAGTATCGCAGTTCGCTAAGATCAGATACCTTGCAAGCTTTGATGTGTGCCCAGGACTGGATGCGTGATGAATTTGAAGGTTAATATTTATTTTTGTAGTTTACAATTATGATATATTCTATATTATCCGTGAAGAATAATTCTGAATTTTTTGTTCAACAGATTCAAGGGCTTCATCGAGCACTGTTACTCTGGCCCTATGCTATGATGCAAAATAATAGCAAGCTTTTGGTATGCTTTTGTCATTCCAGGTTGCCATTCTTTTGCTTTCTGTGTATATTAGCATCTTCTAAACAGTTTCTCTCCTTGTTATGTTAAGATTTTGTAGAAATTAGTTCATTTGAAGATTTTGCTTTTCCAGAGCTTCCATAAGTTGGTGATAGAAATCATTTGCTCTAACTTTATGCCAAACATCAGATGGGATCTTTTGTTCAAGAATCTAACAGTTTTTGCCGTGTTAGGCCCCATCAGTTAACTTATTTATCTGTATGTAGTTTTTTTTCCCCTTCCCATTGTGGTATTTGGACAAGTCAAACTGGAAGCCTTTCCATGGGGATGGATCGTTCAGAACTTGTGTAACTCATGCTCATTATGGTCAGTGATTTGTTCATCTGAACCAGCTGAGTGGAAAATTGCGAGGTATTCTTGGATTTTTGCAGCTTTCGTTCCCATGCTCCAGCCTACTAGGAGATGGTAGAGTCTGCTGTTTTGTATTTCAACCTCCTAAGGTGTGACGGTCGCAGCCAAATAAAGGGAGAAGTGAATAATGAGTTATTCAAACTAGTTGGAGAAAATATCCAAAGAATTTTATAGGGTTTTTGCTCACTACGGGACCTTACAAGAACCATATGTAGCATGACTCTAATTTCAGTTTTTCGATTATTTGGTATATTCTGACAAAAAAGAAAGACTTTGTTGTATGACTTTAGGAAGAATTTTTACAACATAATGACCTACCAACTTATAGAATCTGCACAAAATGTTCCTCATCTTGCATTCTTTCAAGTGCAAAAAATGGAAGACTGCTAACTTCTCTGTTGAACTGTGTGCAAATAAGAAACATTAGACATGCATTTTGAAGGCGGCCTTCTCCTCTTTGCAGGAACAATCCTTTGATAATTTTTTTGTGTTGACTCTGCCACATAGGTTTACTTAGATTTTCTTAAAACCAAATTTGGTTATTTTCTTTCTTTCTGATATTGTTGGTGTTTGGGTTAGCTTTTGCATACTTTGACTAATGCACGGGGCAGCTTGTCCCGCAGCGAACACATTGCCAAGATAATTCTATCCACCAAGGTTGAAACATATGGGTTCGTAGTCGCACCAAGTGTTGTTGGGATCAATCCTAGGATGTCCAAGTTTTTATTTCAAACCTAGCATTGGACACCCGAAATCCAGCAAATGGTGAAAGTCCATGACAGTATCTCGGACGAAATCCAGAACACTGTCATGGAGTTTTACTTTTTAAAGTTTAAAGTCCATGACAGTCATAGTAGCTCTTTTCAAATATTGGCTATTTTTTAAAAATGCGATCCAAAAAAGTAGCTAGCATGTAAACAGTTTAGTTTTGAGATTTTTACATGGCTGAGCATTTTTTAAAAATTATTTAACAAAATGATATTAATTTTAGTTTATTCCATAAATAGCAATTTTTTTTACAATCTTAGCATACTGTAAAGATTATGCCATAATTAATGAATGCACAAATGAAGGAATTCCACTAAATAAGGAATTTAATATAACTGACATTTCTCTATCGGGATTATTTTTTAATCTACATAAATTATTTTCAAATCTTACCTAATAATTTTGCTATTCCAATTTTTTTCTGCCTTCACGCTACTTCTTCTTTGTATATATATACATTTATATCTATAATTTATACATTACTGGATATATGACTTGTAAGCACATGCACATATTTAATGTATCATTTATGTATTTTGGGTGTAATCTAAATATACTTTATGTATATTTGACATGAAATATTTTTTGGACTTCTTCATGTCTTTGCAAACATAATAAAATATAATTTATATTTCATAATGATATATATTAAATAAACAATGTATATATTGCAATGTAATTTATTTTTAAAAAATAAATGGTATATTCAATGTTGTAGTATTGTTTTAGCTGTTATACTAAATATATAATAGTAATATTTGATATTATTTTATAATTGTTTGATTTCATATGTATATTATTATACACTATATATTCTAGATTTATTAGTTTCATATTTTATAAATGATACAAAATGAAAGAAAATATATATTGAATCTGCTATGCTATGTTAATACTCAGGTGCCATAGAATGACATTAACTATTGCGGCTACGGATATGTAAATTTTCTTTAAATATTGGCTAGTTATGTTTTTTGCCCGTTTAACCAGTGTCTATTTTTTAGGCCACCATTTATATTTTGTCCCTTTTTCAGAACCTTTGCAAATCATAACCTCCCGCTTCTTAAGCGGAAGATTTCACCCGGGTTCATTCGAAACTTTAGAATCAAGCGTCTAAAATTATAGAAAAATTATAAAAAATTTATGACTAAACTTTAGACCACTATTGATTATTGTCACAACTACATAAGCTTATGTCAAAATCAGTGTTTTAAAAGGCGTGGGTGTAAGTCGAGGCGTTTTACATATGCCTCAGCGAGGCGTAAGCCCCATAGGTATTTAATTTTTAATATTTTNAACAATTAAAGGAACTCATAAAAAAATAATCTAAGAATGATTCTTAAGTATAACTAATGCATACAAATCACGTATAACGTCTTTAACTTTCAATTAATTAAAAACTTATAATTTCTTTAAAAAAATGATTAAACTCCACATTTTACCTTCCTAAATGTAAATAATTAATAAAATTTTATTAGTACGATAATTAAAATATTACTCCTTCATGAATAAATACAAATTAGTTTAAGATATCAAATTAATAGAAGTGTATAACAAGGAGGGACAAATGAACTAAGACACGACCAATAATAAGTGAAGATATAAATTCGCAATACTATGTCTCATTATTAGAGTTATACTCAATCTTCATATTTCTATTGATGAATAGAACTTTTATCATTAATTTGTTAAAGAATTTTGAATATCAACGATATTAATTAGGAAATTCGACACGTGATTTGCGTTAGAACTGTTAGGCGAGCCTCGAGCGTTGGCCGTTAGGCGTGTTTAGGGCGCACGGTCGGGTGCTTGGGGCGTAAGCCTCACAGAACTAAGCCCCATACATGAGTCCCAGGGCGTTTTGCAAGTGTCCCGCCCAGAGACGACCCCGGGCGAGTCCCGGAAATACCTTTTTAAACACCGGTCAAAATGTATCCTTTATAACAAAAACCTACGATTGGTTCTAAAAGAAATACTTTTGACGGTCATAAAACACTATGAAACATGATCAAAGTAATTGAGACTATTCTTCGTGAGTTCAATTTTAAACATGTTAGTGATTTTTTGCTTTCTCTCTCTAGCTCCCATGCCCTCCGGCGCACGTTAGTTAAACATACGCCCACCGTAGTTCATGGCTCGGGAAGAGGACGAGCTCGCAGAAGACCTAGGTTGCAACCTTTAGCTGGTATTGGTAAACCAACTGAAGCTCCTAATAGCTGAGATGGTAAAGACTCGCGTTCCATTGGATGATGCAAGGATAAAACAATATGAGAGTGAAGCGATAATACAGGGGCCTGCTAAGAGATTGGATCTCAGTATTAGTCCATCTCTAATCGGCCATAAGAACAAATCAACTGGGAAATTTGAAGACCTAACGAGTACTACCAGATCTAGCACCAGCAATTAAGAAGAAGGGGACAACAAATGCATGGACTTCTCTATTTGCAGGTAACCGTAGTTCTGAGAATGGGCTAAAGTTATCTTACATTCCCCCAAAAATTGTTCATGTGAAAACTGTTGTTCAAACTTGAAAAGAGATTTTTTCTAATTGTGTATGTAATTGGGGAAACTTCGAGCTATAACTACATGCATAGGTTTATAAAGCAGAGTTGGAATCAAGTGGCAGAACTAGAGGTGTTTTACCATGAAGAGGGTTACTATGTAGTCAAATTTCAGTCTATCAATGACATGCATGAAGTCCTGTATTCAGGTCCCTATACAGTTAACAACAAACCTTTGATCCTGAAACCATGGACTGTGAACTTCGACTTTACAAAAGAATTTCTCACTGAAATTCCCATGTGGGTGGTGCTACCAAATCTCCCTATGAGTTGCTGGGGTGGTCAATCTCTGAGTAGAATTGCAAGCGCAATAGGAAGGCCTTTGTATGCTGATGAGTGCACTTCTAAACAAAAAAGGATCTCATATACTCGTATGCTTATTGAAATCAATGTTACTCGACCACTTCCCTCTAGTGTCACTATGTGGGAACCTGAATGGAGGCAATTTGATCAAATGATAGAGTATGACTGGAAACCGGATTTTTGCGAAGTGTGCTTGAAAATAGGCCAATGTTGCAAGCAGATTGAGGCTGAGAAGCATAAAGTTGAACAACCTAGAAGAAGAAGGAGACCAATTGGCAATGCACAACCTGCCCCACAACAAGCTCCACAACCAGTGGGACCTCAAAAGGTGATCCAGGAATGGAGAACAAAGAAGCCTGCTGAGGTGAGGGAAAAGCCTACTGAGCACTTGGAAGCAAATAAGCCAGCTACAGGGATGTATGATCATCAAGTTCCTGAGAAAGGACAACTACTACTGTCTATTTGTGAAGAGCAGCCAATGGTAAGAAGCAAGGAGATTCATAAGGAGGACCAGCTACCCCAGAGAAGCCCTGAGTTGAGCTGTATTAGGGAGTTTCCGGCTTTATCTACTAGTGTTCAGAGGGTAAGCAATGCAACAGTGAAATCAGGTGGGAATGGGAATCAGAAATGCTTGCCTACAACAGATAGTGGGCCTCTTATACCAGCCTAATGACCTGGTTAGTGTGGAATGTTAGAGGGATTAGCAAGAGATACAAGCAGAAGGAGCTAAAGTTATACTTAAAGAATAAATACATAAAACTAGCTGGTCTGCTTGAGACTAGAGTTAAAGAAACTAGTGTCAATAGAGTTTTCAAAAATATATCACCAGGTTGGGGCGTTGGGCACTACAATATAATTATCAAAGTGTTGTGAATGGAAGAATAAGGCTTACCTGGGATCCTAATGTATACTGTGTGGATGTTGACAGAGTAGAGTCTCATCTCCTCCATTGCTTAGTTCGGGTAGGGGTGTTCAAAACCGAACCGAAACTGAAAACCAAATCGTAAAAGTGACCTAATGGCTTATTGGTATCAAGTTATCGGATTAACAGGTGGTGAACAGATTGAAACTTTATTATAAACGGCTTATCGGTTTGGGGATGAATTATTCAATTTTCTTATCGGATAAACCGTTAACCCATTAAGAATTTTTGTATTTATATATTCTTATCCATATGTATATTAAATATTCCTTCCATTTATCCATATGCAATATTTTACCTTGGATACAGTAAGGGCGGGACTCCATTGTTCTTTTAGGATGTCCAGACTAAAGGTGTCAAACGGGTCGGGTTGGCCCGATTCCGGACCGGCCCTGACCAGTTTTAGATCGGACCAGACCGTCCCGATAGTAAGGGGGAGGGCAGGGCTGGGTTGGGATGGGGGCTAGTTTGTGCCGGATAGATTTTTGGTACTGGTTAACCGGACTGGTATGACCCGTTATGGTCAAGTCATTTGGGAACCGGTTAATCGGACCGGCCCAGACCGGTTCAACGCCTTTTTTGATTTTTATTTTTTTATAAAGTTGACGTCTTGACCATTGCCCAACAACTAATTTGCAAGAATAGCCCTTTTTGGGCATTTTTTTTAAAAAAATAACACTTTTATTATTTACTAATTTAGCCCTTTGAAAAACTATAAATAAACCCCCCTTTTTTATTTCTTCACACATCTCTCAATTCTCAAACCCAAATTCTCAATTCAAGTTAAATCATGCTCCGTGCTTCTAGAATGAGCTCATATGTTTGGGAATACTTTGAGGTGGTAGAAGAAAATGAAGAAGTTAGTAAAGTAAAGTGCAATAACTGTGGTCTGAGTCTTAAATGTTCGTCGAAAGTGGGAGGGCACAAGCTGTTTGAGGAGGCATATGAAGAGTTGTCTTGAGCGTCCTCTAGAAATTCGTATTTAAGTTGATTTGAGGTAATTTGTGTTATTTTAAAATTATTAGACTTATTTAAGCTTAATGTTTTAGTTTGTTAGATTAATTTGAAGTATTATTATGCAATGAAAATTTGAAATGAAACTATGAAAGTTTTTGAAATTTGATCCTTACATATCAAGTTATCAACACTCCACTATAAGACTTGTACTATAAGTTATATATTTTTCATGTTCATTGGAACAAAGGAAGGCTCTATGGACAAGTTTGAATGATATCTCTGTTCATACGACCAAGCCTTAGATATTAAGTGGTGATTTCAATGCCATTCTCTACGCACAGGATAGGTTGTATGGCAATCCAGTTACAATGAATGAAATGGATGACTTCTCAGACCGCATTCACACTCCTCTTGAATGAGCTGCCATGGAAAGGAGACTACTACACCTGGTCAAACAAACAACAAGGTACAAACAACAAGGTACAGACAAATCCTAAGTATGAATGACAGGGTATTTGGCAATGACATGTGGATGATGAACTGCGACAATGTGTGTACTGAGTATTACACTCCACTGATTTCTAATCACTCGCCTATGTTGATCAATATAAAATCTGTAAGACTCAATATCAAATCACTATTTAGGTTATTTAATGTGTGGGAAGCTCATAGGGATTTTGAAACAATGGTGGAGAACATATGGAAAATGAGAGTAGCTGATGATAAAATGAAGGACATATAGAAAAAAAACTCAAAGCCCTTAAACCACTTTTCAAAAGACTTAACAATGAAGAGTATAAGGGCATAGCACAGAGAATTGAAAATGCAAGGTTGGAGCTCATCACAGTGCATGAAAGTATGCAACAACACTACATTGACAGCCTATTGGAACAAGAAAAGAATACACTACAAGAGTTGGAGAAATGGTCTTTAATTGAAGAGAGCATACTGAAGCAAAAGTCTACAGTAAAATGGATCACTCTAGGAGATGCCAACACTAAGTATTTTTCTGCTATTATGAAAGAAAGAAGCCACAAGAAACATATACTGGAGATTATAACTATGGATGGATGGAAGCTAACTACACCTGCTAGCATCAGAGAGGAGATTGTCAACTTTTATAAGAGTTTGATGGGGTCTTCTGCCAAGTCATTGCATGCAATCAATTAAGAAATTATGCAAAATGGGCCCAAGCTCACTCATGATCAACAGCTAAGTTTAGTTGCAGAAGTTTCAGATGGGGAAATATATGAAAGGCCATGTGCTATTCATGAGGACAAGGCTCATGAGGTTGATGGCTATAATTCACGCTTCTTCAAAAAAGCATGGTCATCTCTGGCAGACTGTACAAAGTTATAGCTTGTACAACAATCACCCTTGTCCCTAAAGTGAGTAATCCAGCAACAACAAAGGATTTCAGACCTATTGCTTGCTGCACTGTGCTATATAAGATCATTTCTAAAGTGCTAGCAAATGGGCTACAAAGAGTAATTGCTAGTGTCATCAGTGAAGCTCAAGCTGGGAGGAAAATTGCATACAACATAATTCTGTCTCATGAGCTTGTTAAGGCATATACAAGGAAGAACATTTCTACAAGATGTAGGATCAAAATTTACCTAATAAAAGCTTATGACTCTATGGAATTGACTTTTTTTGGAACAAGTGATGGGGGAGCTGGGATTTCCTAGAAGATTTTAGCAATTGGTGCTAGGTTGTGTTAAGACAGTTAGATACTCCATAATTATAAATGGGGAGCCTTCAATACCATTCTCAGCAGCTAAATGGTTGAGGCAAGGTGATCCCATGTCTCAATTCCTTTTTGCAATAGCTATGAAGTACTTCAGTCGATGCCTAAATGGATTGAAAAAGAAGAGTGAGTTTAAATATCATCCCAGATGTTCCAAGTTGGGTATCACTCATATTAGCTTTGCGGATGACCTACTTCTCTTTGCAAGGGGAGATGTACTATCAGTCATGCAACTACAACAACGCCTAAGCCAATTTTATGAGGTTTCAGGCTTGCAAGCTAACCAATCTAAGAGTTCAATCTAATTTGGAGGTGTGACACAATTAGTTAGAGGAGATACTGCAGAAACTAGGATATGCTAGGGGTGAATTACCAGTCAAGTATTTAGGAGTTCCTGTGCCCACTAAGAAGATGTCATTAGCTCAATGGCAACCCCTCATCGAGAAAATAGTGGCAAGAATCTCATCATAGACTGCTAAAAAGCTCTTATATGCTGGTCGGATTAAGTTAGTACAATATGTATTATTTGGCATTCAAGCATATTGGTCACAATTGTTTTTGATCCCTAGTAAAGTGTTGAAGACAATCGAAGCTTACTGCAAGAGCTATGTCTGACCGGGAGAGTGTCATCACAAGAAGATCATTAGTGGCTTGGGAGAAGACATGTACACCTAAAAGTGCAGGTGGGCTGAATCTAATCAACCTCAAAGTGTGGAATAGGGCAGCAACAAAGAACCATTGGGATCTTGCACTTTAAGTGGACAAATTGTGGATCAAATGGATACTCTTTTTACATAAAAAGGCAGCAAATTTTTGATATTCCAATACCTTAACAGGCCTCTTGGCTAGTCAGAAAGATGATTGAAGCAAGGGATTTAGTGAAACCAACACAAATTCTGACCAATAGAAACAACAACATGATCAGACAAATATACTATCTGATGCTTGGGATATTACCTAGAGTGGAATGGAAGTTATTTATGTTTAGGAATGATGCACGGGGTAAAGCTAAGTTCACTATGTAGCTATATTTTTTAGACAGGTTGCTAACTAGTGATAGACTAGTACGCTGGGGAATGCTGGTGGACACCCTATGCATATTATGTCAATCCCATGATTAAAGTAGAAACCACCTGTTCGCAGAATGTGACTTTGCCAAGAGACTTTGGAAGGGGGTCCTATTATGGATGCAGAGACGACCATATTGTCCTAATTCATGGAGTCAACATTGAAAATGGGCAGTGGAAAATGCTAAAGGAAAATCACAGAATGTTGTTGCCTTCAAATGATTTATGCTGAGACAATTCACATGATCTACAATGAGAGGAACCTTCGAATATTTGAGAAGCACAGTAGAGAGGTAGAAGAATTAGCTAGGGCTATTGCATGTGTCTATAATGTGAGAGTATATGCTCAAACAAGAAAGCTACTGCAACAACTTAAATTTTGAGGAGTTAGAACACATAGGACTCGTGGTTAATTGATATTTGTACAGGTATAGGTAGAAACTTCTATATGAGACAGGGAAATGTGATTTGTAAAGCTACATTGATGATCAATGAAAATTATTTAATTACCAAAAAAATCTTAGTTTAATGGATTTTTAATTTTTTATATTATTAGATTACTTGAAACTAACTATTTCATTATATGTGAACTGTTATAAATATATTATATTATGGGTGTTCATTTAGTACTCCGTTGAAAATAAAGTTCCTGAAGAAGCTTATCTATATGAGACTCTGCCGTAAATATGTTTATCTATTTAGTACTCTATTGGAAATAAGTCTCCTGAAAAAGCTTATCCTTTCGGTATCCCGCTATGGATAAACATTACCCCGTTAGAAAATTATCTATATCTGGTATAATGAGCTTATCCTTTCGGTACTCCGTTATAGATAAATATTACCATCGGTAGAAGATTATCTATATCTGATATAATGAGCTTATCTTTTCGGTACTCCGTTATGGATAAATATTATCCCTGGTAGAAGATTATCTATATCTGATACATTAGCAACTTACACATCAACTTGCTTTTTTC